GTAGGCTCAGCAGGAGCACCAACAGGAACATAACAACAACAGCAGCGACGCCAGGGGTGATCGCAGTGAGATGCTGTAGCTACTTGGCTTTGCACGCTATTGAGCTGGCTGTGGTGAGCCACCAGTGTTGCTTCAAATGACATAACGTGCGCGGCATCAGCGTGGCAGGTTTGGCAGTAAACGTTGTTTGACAGCGTGTAACGTCGGAGTGCGCAGCTATTGTCTGCAACAGCCTCGATGCGGTTCTACAGTGGCATATTGCTACGTGACCCGATTCTTCTCAATGAATTAGTCTGCGTCCTCGGCATTTTTTGCCGCAGTATGTCATGGTAGGCGGTAGTGAATAATAACTAATACTGCAGAGAAAGGCTCTTTCATGCTGAAATGGGTAGCTGTGCTGTGGCAGATGAGTTCAGAACGGCCTTGTGTACACTGACTTCGAAAGGTAGAATAACGCATTGCTGAGACAAGCCAGGGCGAGGGCGCTAGGTCTGCAGTGGAAGGCTTGTGTGTATGCCTTTACAAGTGCGCGTAGATTTTAGCATCTCCATATGGATTTGAACCGGAACAATGGTGCTTCCCTACAGAAAGAAGTCCATTTGCTGCAGCTTCATTTGGTACTATAAAGAGCTCCAATAACACGATCATCACCTGTTCCGCTCTCTACGAAGCAACTTTTCTGCGGTGGAATTCATTGCGGTGCATTTGCACCTTCAGAGGGCGCCGTGGTGATTTATCGTTTCTCGTACTAAGCCCTCATACAGATGTGAAGGCATGGAGTCCAACACACGTGATGCTGCAATTTTCTATTTCTGGTCCTGATATATGCAAACGTATTAGCACGTCACTGGTAACAAGGTAGCCATTCGTTTATTCTTTTCCATTATGAGCGGCCTTGTTTTATGTAGAGGAGTGCGGCCTGCAGACAACGGAATATCGAAAGAAAGTCCATATCTACGTATGCAAAGTTCAAACAGGGATGGCCTCGAGAGCCGTCCTAACGTTGCCTAATACGTAAACACGTATCTTGGTGTCCCAGTGATGCACCACCCTAGATATTGTCCACTCAACGTGGCAAGTTTACTACACTAGGCTCTATGACAGCGGCAGCGCGGAGATCTGGCACCATTGGCCTGGCTAGGAGCTGAGGGTGTAGAATACTGTGGCATTCATGTATAAGAGGATTGCGAATGCCAGAACAACGAATTTCCTCCATCTTCTAGAAATATCAAGGATGAAATCAAGCACCTAAAGAATGAGAAACTTTATGGAGTGTCCTGAAAGGAATTTCTGGCCCGAAGAAGTATCTTCGAGTTCACACAGGAACAGAAGTATGAAGGGGGCATGCTGGACTTAGCTCACTAAAAAGAAGCTTGCGGCTGTCCGAAGGCAAAGCATTTGGAGGAGCACCATACGGCTGGAATACTGGAACTTTACGCTAAGGAAGCAATGCTTAATGCCATTTTGATTGCCAAATTCGATGTCCCTGTAAAGTAATATTCACAGCTGCTACTTGTTCCATCGAAGCACATATGTCTGCGAAAGTCCAACAGCATTTTCGAGTTTAGTGCCATGCGCACCATCGTCTCAACAAAGTTCTTTGATGACATGCGGTTGAAGACTCAAAGGACGGTAGAAGACACTTGCTGCAGCTACTGGGAATGCGACTGGGATAACTGGCCTTCAACTACCGTTCACTCCGTGAGGTACCAAAACCCATTGCCAGTGAAAATATTTGAATGATTTACAGCAGCAGCGCCTCTTCAAATCACCGAAATAGTTTTCATTTGCGAAAGGTGCATAATGGCGCACAGTCACTGGCAGGATAGAAGCTTTCCACCACATGATTGTCAAGAGACACGCACGAAACTTTCTGCACATTCTTGGAGCATTTCAAGGGGAATGTGAAGCCATTTGTTCGATGGATGCCATAGAGATATTCTGAGCAATTACAGGGGAAATTTTCTCTATTTAGAGATAATAGAGGCATGTGGCATATTGGTGTCGTATTAGTATGATGGGGCTGTTGAGTTAAGTATGTAGCACCGACAGAATTCGTCTCATTCCAAGCGAGCGATATCGTCTCTGAATGGCTAGCGTGATATCGCAGCTTTTTAGTCAAATAACTGCGTTTGGCTATTAGTTGGATCTAAACTAAGGAGTAAAAGTACAAATGCATCTTGATACATTCCATCGAATGTTAGAGGTTTGCTGCAATTTGTGATGTTGCATGGTTGTTTAACTGACGGGCAGAAACGTGAAGTTCAATACACAGATGAATGGATCATCTGTCTAACCACGGTGAAGACTTTTGATAGCGTGTACTTACTAAGTGAACTAAGGTGGCATTAACAAGTCCCAATACATTGCCACTGCTTAATTGAAGATGTGAATGCATTTCAGGGGTAACTGCCGTTTTACAGGAAGATGCTCAGGGAAGCTTACAAATATCTGGTGATCATGGAGTTCGTGCATAGCCAAGCTGAAACGCAGTAAAGAGGCTGCATTTTCACCATAAAACAATTGCACATTTGGAGCACTCTGCGCGCAGCACCTTGATTTGTGCTCGCTGGTGTTTTTAACTTAATTTGTTGATTTGCACGTATGTGTGCATTCTTTTCGAAGGCTTCGCCTACTACTGTGCTTGTTTGCAGCATTACCTTCCCAGCTCCGAAGGCATAAGTTCAGTGCATAGTATTACAACGCAACCCAGAAATGGCCTCCAAGGTCCGATAATTCGGTAGATTGAGATGCTAAGTAGAAGTAATAAACACACAAAGATAATTATTCTTGAGAAATTAAGGCCAGATTCGCTTTGCAATTTGACCCTGCTGCTGGGGCTGGCAAGAAGCACTCAGGCTGCCATGGGTCGTACACCATGCATCTGATGAAAAATGAAGCATCCCTGGAAATGTGGACTAAAATTGGTATTTGTCGAATCTTTCTAATATTTGCCAGTGCCCCTAGTTAGTTGTGATGTGAGCCTATGTAGGAATTTAACAAGGCCAGTGCGCAGCGCATTTGCCTCAAGAAGGGCTCATAATACGAAAGCCGTCTGCTGTAAAGGCTTCCAAAAGCTGCCTAGGGAGCTCCCACAGTATCGTGTTGCTGTTTCCGTCGTGTAGGTGTGTGCCAGCTCCACTGCTTGCACACTGCCGTCACCCGTTGTAGACACAAACTTTGTTACTGTGGATTTAGTATCCAAACACATTCAAAACACCGTTTTTTCTACTTTTTGTAGCTATATATATGTAGCTATGGAAAGTAGAAAAGACAGTGTTCTGTGTATATATATACATTTAAACTGAAATTCAGGCTCTAAGCTGCCGTCGACCACGATGAAACATATCCAGTAAGAAGTAACTCACGTGAGTGGAAAATGATTTCCGCTGCCATGGAAGCGAACGAGATTTAGACAAACTGGAAGAAGCATTTGCTGGCCGAGAACGGAACTGTTCACTTTGAACGCCTGTAGTTACGTTGCTCACGTTTCATCAATTAGAGCACTACCCCGCAAAGTTCGATGCACTTATTTTGGAAAATTACTAATTGCAGAGTTTTTCAAAACAACTCGGCTCATCGACTATGAGATTCACGTTTGGGGAAAATCCAGCATGCCCATCGAGACCCCTAAAGGGTTCTCAAGCTTCCACAGCTCGCGGTGGCGGCAAATCAACTTTCCAGAATGGTGTTGGACACAACATCACTGCCACCAAATTGTACGGCTGATTGTGTAGGTCAAACACACAGGGTTGAGAGCGAAACGGTTGTGGAACCCCACCATGCGTTTTCTGAGTGAACAGTTGGCTTTCGGAACTCTCTGGTTCGAGGCACCTTCCGCTTCCCCAAGCCAGCATCGCGCTTTTAACAAGGAAATAGACTAGAGCAAGTAATGCTTGCAATTACTACGGGAATCGGGAGGCCGACCACATCGAGGAGCAGATCAGCTGCAGCTTCTTCCCTTAGGCACCCGATAGCACGAACATATCGTTCCATTTCGAACACGGGCGAATCATATGCCATTTAAAGGCTTATTTAAGAACTGAGCCTGGGTTATACACACGCGTCGGAATTTGCCGAGGTCGCTGAGGCTTTTGTCTGTTAGCACATGGCGAAGATGCCTATGCCTGCAGAGTTGGCGCGACCCTGCCTGTTTTCTGGTACAACGATGATGTATACGTGCTTTTAAGTGTCAGAGCAATGCAGGCACGGGCTTGCGTGGCGGCTCTAGGCCTCATCCAGCTCCACTGCTGGCGATGCCAAGGTAGAAATATGCACACTTATTTCCACAGATGCGTACAGACAGAGTAAAATTCTGTCAATAGTAGCGCGTAATACTGCAGAATATCTGTTAACCCGCATGAATGAGTTGTGCGCGAGTGCATACAGCGAACACATATGCAGTTGCTCACTCTTTATCTATCCCCCAGCATTGCTTCTGAAGGGGAAGCTGCAAAGCATACCAGGGGCCTTGTGCAAATCCTAGTAAAGATTATAAATGTGAACCAGATACGTATACTTAATTAAAACTGCCTCAAAACATAAGGGCGTTGAGGTCAGTACGTCGCATGTCGGGGCTTGTTATTTTAGGTACAGTAGTAGTAGTGAGAAGAAGTGGAACTGCAAGCCTGTTTTTACATTGAGTATGTTTTTTTCTTTCCAAAATCAACCTTATGATTGTAGCGGGATGCAGTTTTGCAGGATATTGGCCAACGTATAGCGTTTTTTGTGCCTGCGCCTTCAGTGGCACTGAACGCCTACGGAGGTTCATTTTTCTGCCGTTTCCATCAGCCAGCAACTGGTGACTGTGTAACCAATCTTGTATTCAGCTGTACTCAGGCTGTGCTGCGCAGATTCTTAACTACGATGGTTATGTGATCCTTTGACCCTGACGCGTACACAGTTGCCGCCTTCGATTCTTAGTCGATTAACGTTCTGAAACTTCGTTAAGTACTTCCTTTGTCGGCTCCAAGTCTGTAAAGAACAATTCCTGGGCACAAATGCAAAGAATACAAAATTTTTTCGGGGATGTGGCGCTGTGCCGTCTCAGCAGCAGAAGACCTACAATAACGCTCCGCACAGGTCTTGCGCTTATCGAATGCACGCGCTGTCGCTCTCAATGTACAGGGTCCCTCTGCCTTTCTCCTCAAGCATTTCCTGGCGCCTGTTTTCGACAGAGCAGGATCGCTGTGAGGGCAGTCTCTGGTGCGGTCGACAGACAGCCAAACGTACGGTACACAACTTGTGCATCCGTGCACGCCTTCTCTGCCACAAAGGGAACCTGCCAGGACACCCGCAGCAAGTGGTTGAAGGCTGCTCAGGCGGTAGCAGGGGTGGATTTGGAAGATAATGTAGGTGAGCCTGCTCAGCCGCTCCATTTTTTCGTCAACGGAGCGGAAATACACCTGTCGACGTCGCCAGTAATTCCTGGCCACTCGATTATTCAGTACAAAGGTAAATTCTCTACACTTCTCACAGCTGCTCTAGTAATTGCGTAATTATAAACAAGCTCCCACATTTTTGACCGACCACCATTTACAGTATCTTGGCAATGGAATGGATGCAGTCGGTGGCGAGTAATATCTACTAGGGACTTCTGGCAACAGCGCCAAGGAGTCATTGTTACGCTGTCCCCCACAGGGGCTAAGCTCTACGAGAATTTCATGCACTTTGTATGTGCAGGTTTCGCTGAGGGCTCGGCAGTACGAGGCCGGAGCGTCTTGGAGATTTGGAGGCAGCAGCTCCAGCAGCAACTTGGTGGCGAACAGAAGTTGCTTCATGACCTTTTGAAAGAAACGCGTGCATCTGCACTTCAGCGCCTTGCTGAGGCGGCTGCCTTAGCGGGTGCCAATGCAGTTGTCAGTGTGCGACTTGTGACATCTGGTCTTCAAAGCATGCATGTTGAGTACACAGCATATGGCACCGCCGTAAAGGTGGCGAAGCCTAGTCCTCTGTCCTCTTCCTAGAATAATTCTAGTGAAACTTTGTACAAGCTCGGATGCTTGTATATTTCCCGAAGCGCGTCGTGCTCCCAAATGAGTCACGCAGGACGACCAAAAGCTCGGATTCTCATAGCTTCCCACGGCGTTCATTTATGTTTTCTTGTTTATGTGGCCTTTCCAATGCCGAGAAGGCAGTAGAATTGCTTGGATCACTACGTGCCTGGCAGGATGCATCTCTATGGAACCATCATGGTGCAGCTACTGGCAGCTGAGGAAGATGTAGACCCTCGTCGCCACTGCATAATGACACCATGTGTACATTACAAAAGTGATTGCTTAAAATGCAGGGAAACAGGCCAAGTCGATGGACCTTGTATTGAGAATGGTCCGGCTTTACAGTGATTTCAAATCTAGCTCCGCCGCCAGGGCGCAGGTGGTCGCCTCTTTGTTTATGACTTCAGCTTGATAAAGGCACTGCCACAGCGCGCTGTTGCCTTACGCATTTCTTGGCTCATTTGCAACCGGATTGATTTTGGGGCAGCTGAGGAGGCCTTGTGCCTCCAAGCAGTGTCATATCACCACGCCAGCAAGCCCCTCCGTCTAAGAGACGCAGTGCGGCGGCGGCCACAGTATTGATCTTTTTACTTGGCTAGGAGAAGGCACTCTGGGCTTCGACTGGAACAGAGGACTGCAGTACAGCCCAAAACTTGAAAGGTGACCAATGAGGGGCGTGCCCAGCCAAACGACGGGCAGCTGCCATGTTGGCGCTGCGTAAAGCATTAGATTTGCTGTTTCCCGTCGTTCTTACCACATTCACATGCTTACAGCCATCCGAACGCGTGTTCCATGGTGCATGCCAGTCTGCTGTACTCGCCAACGCGTTCCAATGGCCTGAACTTTGTTTCATGGACACGATTTATATGCGGTGCGTCTGCTGAGCACCTCGTGAGCAGCGGCAGTGACATATTTGTCAATCAAACACCACTTTCGCTTGTACGACTCTCTTTGTTTCCCTGGCGCACGGTCTGCTGTCCCGCAGACAGATACTTCAGCACCATGGGCTGTAGAAATAGTGTGGGAGTGACAAGAAAGTAATGGGACCTGCCGGGTGAACGGAAGGAAATCTTCATGAATGCTACAGCGCAGCCCTCCCACGAAAGGGACGAGGCGCTGAGTTGCCTTCCTAGTTGGGGTGAAGCTAAACACTAGGAAAAACGAAGTTCCATTTGCCTTTTATTTCACAATAGCCGCACGCCATTTGACGGAATTTATGTGCTCGTGAAGACGCGTCTTATCTATATACGCGTCTTATCTGGATGCACGCTCAGCGTGATGCACACGTAGCGTTTACGGTCCTGTACCGAGTTAGGGAAACACAGCTTCCGAAGAATCAACTTCCCCACAAAAGGTGCTGCGTTCTGCCCCACCGGGAGCGCATCAGTGCCACTGCTGCGCAAGTGTGGGTATCCGCTGAAGATATTGCACGTATTATATATTGATCCGTGCGCTGCCATCCCCGTTGCCGAAACGTGTGTTCAATGCTGCGCCGTGAGTTGTTGCAGCGAGCAAGGTGGGGTATTCAACGAGCTTTCCTTATTAGCTAATTTCCTAAAAACGAAGCCACCCAAATAGAATAGCTCACTTCTTACGAGCGAGGTCAGTTGGAACGATTTCTTGATTGCGTGGCCTCGCTTTATTTAATTCGTTTTGTTGGATGAAGGCCGTCCAAAAAGGCACACAGTGGAGCCTCTTCAGTTTTACGGGACCTCTACTGGACTTGTGAAAGCTAATACGGCACTATTATTCTGTCAGAGTGCCTGTTTAGCAGGAAACAGATCACAAGAACACTTCGCTTTGAGGGCACTGAAGCGCTTGTACGCCTGTGGCATGTGCGCCTATGGGCAAGTATTATGTCGTGTCAAGAGACAAAACGCAAACGTACAAATATGCGTTGTTTTTGGCATCTAGGATCGTCTCCCCGCTTATGTTCCATAGCAGTATATAAAACTCCAGCTTCAGCGCTTTGGGGGCAAACGTGCCACTCGGGAGGGCAGCTCAACACTTCTTGCAACTGCTGTCGGCAGTTCTAATGTCACGCTGGGCGCTGGCGACGTTCTGCACGCTGCCGCAAAAGCGCCTGGGCATACGCAGCAGCATCCGCGCTGTTTGCTGATGCCACCCATGGGTGTTTCTGCACAGTCAAAACAAAGCATGCGAATGTGCTGTCGGTAGCCCACGATATCTAGCTTCGCAAACCCCTATAGACATTCCTTTGAGATTATATCGAAGCACCACCCCTTTAGGACACAAGCCTCACTAGGATCTGGTGTACAGAGATACGGTCTTGCCACTCCGGATGGAGGACCTGGAGGAAGAAGTCACGCAGCTCCGGTGAAATGGGCGGGCTGTCCGGAATTGTAACAATTCCTTCCCCAATAGCCTCAAATAGACTTTCTATCGAGCTGGCACTGAAAGGAACTGATCCGAATACCATGACCTATCGAACGCCCAAAACAAAAGACCACTAAGATCTACCGCCTGCTATTATGAAAGCATAGACCTTAGTTGCATCCTGATGTGCGTCAGTGCACACTGCTATCCTGAAGCTTCAAAGGTAAATACGCTTCCTCGTAAATGATGCTCCTATAACAGTCTTGCTCATCGCAGTCAGGAATAGTGGCCAGTGAGTTTGTCCCAAATATTTTTAGCTACAGTGCTTAGGAGAAAATATCAGTACATACGTATGCGCAGATTCCTAACGCCCAGACGTCTGCAGCGCGGCCATCATGTCCTTCGTATGGCTTGGATTCCTCTACTGGGCGAAGGCACTCAGGCGCCATGAACATGTATGTGCCCTGCAGTTATACGTCATAACGCAAGCTAGTGCAAGCCAGCTTGCACCCGAATCTGCAGCTGCATGAATGTGCGAAGGTCAGATGAACACTGTCTGCCCAATACAATACCCAGATGCCACTCACAAGACCCTAAGGGAGTGATTTTGGTGAGACTGGCAAATGTAACAGTCTACTGTCTTCTGAAGGAACAAGAATTGGGGATTTGCTCTACGCTTTCCGGGTGCACGCAGACTGAAAAGCGGCCATAAACATTCCACAGTCTCCGAGCCAGCACTAGCTCACGCTTTACGTGTTGACTTTAGTGTCAACACGTAAAACCTCTCACCTTTGTGTGTCTAACCTTGCCATTCGCTCCAATTTTCTCGGCGCTCCCAAAGTCACCCACGCAGACTCTGCCATCGGCGCCTAATAGAAGGTTGTCTACCTTTAGATCCCGGTGGCAAATCCCAAGATGTTCGTGCACTGAGCCAAGCCGAAAGCAATAGCAAAGTGACAACACGTTATCCGCAAATGAATTACATTCAAAGCACGCCCTTGTGCTCTAAGCAGCAACATTCTAATAACAGTACATTCACTAATGATCAATGCTTTCGCTTGGCCCCGCAACAGCTAGGCTCGATTCCGCTGCCGGCTTTTCTGCAAATATGTGAGACACTATGAGAGTTGCGCTCTGTTTTCATAGCCCATCAAAAATAGGAGTGGCCTCACAGTACGCCAAACCTTCTGCAGCGTCGCGAATGAAGCACTTTGCCTGGGCTTCTGTGAAAGTTCTTAACGTTTCCAATTGTGGAGTAAACTTTTCTCGGATTATATCTTCAGTGACAGACATGTCTGCCACGACCGACTCTGGCGCATCAGAGCTCAGTTGGCAGCTTCGTACTAGCTCGTCATCTCGCATTGGGTTTAGCACCATCAATGCTCCTCCAGGCAAAAAATTTGTAACTGAGCAAGCACAAACATACAATGTGAATGGCTACTGAAACTGAATGGGTGAACCAATAGAATCAATAGGATACATTAATCGTAAGCTTGCCCCCGCTGGCAAAGACAACTCCCATAGCAACATGTGTGCTGTGCGCTAGACAAATTAAGTTTGAACGACATCTACAAAACGAAAAAATCTAATGAATAGGGATCTGGTGCTGGCTGCTGACTAAAATAGACTTTGCCATCCGCCGATTCCGGATTGGAGTCGAGGACATCTTTTAGTTTCAAGCATCGTGGATGATCCAGAAGTGCCAATATGCGTGCCTCCTCCTTCACATCCTCCATTTTGGCCATAAAACCCATCCCAGTTGGGCCAGGGCGATATTCCCTACGTCTCAAGAGAAGCATCTTCCGGTACCGTTTGCAGCAAAAGCTTGTGGTAACTCCACTGGTTGGGTTTGCCTCCTCTACCCGAAAGACACTGGAAAGCTCAGCTGAAATGACAAAACAACTTCCCCGAAATTCCTTATGAGCAGCGAGACCAGTGTGCTAATCGGAAACTGATGAAATGAGACAAGACGCGTCTCGATGCACCGTTTGACGTAAAGGATGCAACGAAATAGGAAAGGAATAAAAAGGAATAGTAATGTCCCAATACAGACGGCCAATGCTGATGACAAAAGCTAGCAGCATGAGAAACCCTGGAAGCACGGCGGGGCTGCCTCGGAGATTTAAGATTACGGCTTTCTGAATATCTCACATCGGGAGCGCCGCTGAGGTAGACGACAGTAAAGAAGTGGTGTGTAACGCTCACTACTTGCTAGCTTCTCGCAAACGCGATACTCGTTCAACCATACGCTTCCATCTGGTCGCCGGCACTTCGAGGCCAGTTTGACGTCCACTCCTTCCATGCGGGGGGATGGGCGGTGCATCATCAATGCTAGTACACTGCTTTCGCATTGGAATCCTTTCTCAAACCCGGGTACTTTCCAAACTTGTTCTCTGTGGATTGCTCTTTGCTTTGAGATGGCAGTGAAGCGCTTTGCAGCACCGAAAACTTCCAAGGTAGCGGCAGTCGGTACTCCCAGCGGGCATACGGGCCCTCAGAGAATCTATAAAATGCTAGCCAAGACGGAAAGGCGTGGGCGAAGGCCCCGAGTTGGGGCTTAAGGTGAGCTCTGCATCGTCTTCTGTATGGCCTCCACACAGAAGCTGCTACAGGGGTTTCTTTCCCCGCCTTTGTTGGTATATCCTAGTTGAAGGACCGGCCTCGATGCCGAAAGATCTCTGTTTTGATTCAGTAGAGGGTTCTCTCCTGCTGTTCCTGTTGCTCATGACCCTCCCCCCAAGTTTGACTTCGACTGCAGGACCGCAGGATCCCAGGCTTTGCTCAGCGCAAGCAACTGCGCACCACCTAATTTTTGAGTCCAGATAAACTGAAGGCAAAGCTTGATATCACACTGTACAGGCCTGGTGAAATATCTCCACGCCACTTCTCTTGAACTCGTCTAACACACAAGCAGTTGGAGCGGAGGAGGGCCCTTGAACGGCTAATAAGATGTTGCTAAAGCCTCCCATGCCTTCAAACCAAGCTTTAAATATTAAATATTGTGGAACTGCAGGAGAGGAACCCGCAAACTATGGCGTTTTCCTGTGGATTTGCAGCGAGCCGTGGGCGTAACCAATTCACGGGGACTGCTGGCGCGGTGCTGAAGTCTGCAGTGACCCTGGAACAGATAGAAATTAACGAGAGACGGGCCAAAGTGTACAGAGAGAAAGAAATCAGGTAAAGAATGTCAGCGTTTGATTGAAGTTGAGTTGAGCAGCATTGGGAGCAAGGCACACGGTAGCAGTAGCTGGGGCTCTGTTGACTGAGTGCATGGCTTCGGAAATGCTCACGAAAAGGGGAACCAGAGCTGATTTTGAAGGAATAACCCAAAAGAACACCAAGTTATGCCAGTCATTTTATCGCAGAGCCATCGTTTTCATTGCATTACACACAGATCCGCGCAGGTGTAGGCAGCGGCGGCACTTCGTCGTTGGTGAGGTGAGTATGGTACCACGCATCTAGTGTAGCGATGTCTTGCAACTGCCAGCGTTGCTAAACATCAGCTAAAAGCGCAGCCTTTATGTGTGCAAAACGTAGTTGGCTGGAGGCTAGAAAATTCAATCAAAAGAGTTGGTGCTGTGAAGTATGGCGTGCGGGAGCTGCATTTTGAGCTGGCGCAGGCGTACCCTTTGATGGATTTGCTTTTACGTTGATGCACGGGAAATCAGGGAACTGGAATATGAACAGTGTGCTAATCTTTCAGTTTAGGCTTCTTTAGATTTCATTGAGATCTTCTATCGGATGCTGTGTGCGCAGGAATGCTCTAGTTATCAATGGTGGTAGCGCTTTCTCCTAAACGCATATAGATGGCGAGTCTTGGACTTATGAGTTTCTGTCGAAGCAGACTTTCTCCGCTAAAATTTGTAGTTGGAGTTTGATATACTCATCCACCTACGCGTCGTTTCCAGGGCTGGGTCGTCCCTTGGCCGTGCTGGCACATCGCCTTTTAAGGGGTGGCGTGGAATTATGCATTCATTGGACAGACACTCAACCAAATATGCATTGTCTACTGCTGTCTTTTAGCCGGAATAACGCATTCTGCTGTCAATGTCTCCACAAAGTACCACCACCGCTTCGTCGCATTGGGCTGAATGACTTGCTCTCAACGCCGGTCCTCAACCAGAGAGTTCTTAAAACATGGGTAGTTCCATTGTAGATTTTCAGTCCATTGACTTTCTGTTCCGCTTCTTTTTTCTGTTCTCCTATCTCTAGGAGCCATAGGCTGTAAATAATTAAAGCACGCTTTGGTTTGCGTCTGAGAGCTGTGTGAATGAGAAACAGCTGGAAATGTACATTTTTTCACAAGCCTTGTGCATGGAGTCGTTTATTTTCATGAAACTGTAGGCGAACGCATGCGCCCACACTGATTCAGGTTCTGCGCTGTAGCAAAGGAGTAGACCGGTGGGAACTCGGGCAAAAATTGCACAAAGCGTAGTGTTTAGCACTAAAATGTAGCACAGAAATGACCTTCAGGGCCACATATTTCAGAATATGCAAATCGACGTACTAAATGGAAACAGTAAATGTGCAGAACGACTTAATTAACAGGTGGTTACTCCTGGCGGGTTCTGTAGCTCCGCCCACGGTATGGAGCTGGCAAGCGGCACTTCCACTGATGCGTGCCGCACGACCGATCAGTGAGGAGAAAACATCAAAGGAAGGCAAATGCACTGCTTTAAAAGGGGGAATTACAGTGATACTGCCTGGAGCTTTTCCAGTGTCTAGCAGCATCTTTTGTTAGTAATGATGACTACGAACGCATGTTGCCAAAGCAGGAGAGCCGCGTATGAGCTGTGATGGTTTTAGCTGACTAAAACACGGGGGTCTTCCGAGATATATCATTTTACATTTTACCAGCACAAATCGTAACGACTTAGTCTTTCAGGTCCCAGGGATCTCTAATTAGTTGCACACGGTCAGATGCTCGCAAGCCAAGTCATGCAGGACAGCAGATAGCGCTTATATGCTAAAATGTGGCTCTTCGAGACACTAGAGAAGTCCTGCGAAAGGGTACTCTGAGGAAGCCATAAGCAAAAGCCTCTTCATAAGTCGACCAGTCCAGGGAGCATCCCAGTTTAAAGCGAGTTGGAGCTGTTGCGAGGGTTCATTTCTATTTAAACGTGGAGAGACTGAACTCACTGAGGCCACGGCCGCTGCAAAAGAAAATTAATGGCAGCGTAAGGGTATTTCGCTCGGTAGCAGAGATGCGGTTTACGGAGGCACGCCCTGAGCAACGCCTGTGGGGAAGCCAGCTGCAGAAGAATTTAGACGTTAGTGAACTTGGTAAAGTGGACCTAATATAGAAATACAGGGAGTTGAAAGGAGAAACGAGTAGCATTAGAGTGTCAGATTTTTCTACATATCTGCGCTTTCAGCTGTGTGGGCCTTATTCGACTCATTGCAGCTATCGATGGAGAAGGTGACCAGCGCTGACAGTCGGCTGAGTTTGTGGAGATCTCTGCAAGAGGAGGTGCCTGTAACGTCGCTCTTAGAGCATTACTAAGCTAGCTTGCCATTCTAATTGTGCAGGGTTCTAAGAAAAGGGACCGCCGTTAAGCAATGCATAGGAGCAGCAACAAAGGTGGAAGCAGTGCAACGCCTCAAGGGAGCCCCAGGGAAGAGTGGGAAAGGTGATAAAGCAAAATAGAGCTTTGTCTGGCTCAAAAATCCATGACAGTCAACCGGCTTCGGAAAACGGTGACAGACCATGCCACTCTCCGACCAGCAACTTGAACGACATGGCTGTTCTGAGTGTATCGGCATGAAGCAGTTGGCGAAAGGCTCCCCCTCATGAGAACCGAAGGCTCGCACATCGGGAGAAACCTGCAAGAGGTGCGGAGGTGAGACCCACTACAGTATTAATTGCGCCACTTTAGCCAACGCATTATGGAGCTAGCGGCAGCAACAGGTCTCATGAGAAGGACGAACAAAAACTGTATGTAAACAGCAAAGCATGGCAGCTGCTGAAAATGATCTGCTTGGACACCAGCGACAAGGTGGGAAGCCGCTGCGTGCCGATGCCACGTGGAAGAATGCCATCAAAGTCGCCCCGACGTTGTAGCAAAGAAACCTGAAGCGAGAGTAAAGGGTTGACATAGGCTGAATGGCTGCAGTAATTCCTAAGGCGCACAAGGAAAGCGGAAAACGCATATCACTGGAATTGGAGCTGACATGAGTTGCTACCGCAACTCATGTCAGCACACAGGCTGAGAGAGAGGACAAGCAAGGGGAACCGTATGAAGCTCCCAGTAGTGATAAACAGGGAGAATACGCAGCATTGGTGGAGCGCTCAACTAGTTACGGAATTGGCGGATCAGTTGCGGGTGGCTGCTGTGCAGCACCGCAAACATAAAAGTTCTAGTCGTTGAGATGGTCGGGCATGAGTGCTGGTCGCTTCTGAACAGGGAGCGTGCCGCACATATTCTTTAGCCCGATCACAGTTAGGCGGCTGAGAATACTGTATAGGTAAAGCCTTTCATTTCATGGTTGCTAATAAAGAGCGCCTGCTTACTCGCCGCGTAGTGACGCTTCTGTATATGCTCTGTGGGAGCAAATGATTAGAGGGGAGCGTCTTATTGAGGTCTTTGCCTTAAGAGGTTGACGTAGGACTACATTTGCAAATGGCCGATAACTTGGCCAAGCACTTGTACTTCAGTAAGCTACGAATTTAAGTGAATGATTGATTTTGCGACCTACCGAACAAAACAACGTAAAAGAGCAGGACAGAACGCAGTACCAGATCCCACCTGAGCCGACGATTTGCTGGCCAAACAGGTGTCCCAGATGACTGCTGTACAGATGACTATACTCTTCTGCTCCTCTCCTCGCCCAACAAACTATGCAAGGAACACCATAAAATTATGGCCAGGGTGCTTACAAACGAGCAGCCACGCGACGCGCACGCCACCAGGAGACACGTATCAAGTGCAATAGGGGAACATAACGCCGTGCTCGCTTCACCAAATGTGGGCACACTGTACACCATTGGCTTGTGCGAGGAGCATAAAGAGCCACTCGTTTGCTCGTTAGCAGAGCAATGCAGTGGGAAACCTTCAGTTCATCCATGCATCTCAATAGCCTCTCCAGAAAGCGAGGCTGACAAAGAAGAGTAGCCTTGGGCCACCGTCAGCCTGGGTTACGCTGAGTTTGAATGTCGGGTGTCACCTGACAAATAATAGAGGTAACCCCTGCAGGTGTTCGAGCTGCTCAGAGAACAAGCTGTGTTCCCGGATAATTTACCGACAGGTCTACTATCAAAGCGTCCACATGACCTTATCTTGGTGTAATCAAGCAAGCAAGCTTGCAAGGTCCCATTGTGCAGAATGCGACGGGACCTGCTTGCACTCCACACGCAAGAGGCACCGAAGTCCTCAAGCATGCAGTGAATAGGCTCGAGGTGGTTTTTCTATTTGTGCCCCTCATCATGGTTCGCAAGTACGAAGATGGTCCACCCGTCACAGAAATGCTCATGGTTGCCAACTATCATGCATAAAAGGACCTCAGTACTTTTCGTGACTCTGCTCTGCACCACATTCAAGCTACCCTAGGGAGGCTATGGGAAACCGAATAGTTCTGTACACTTGATCTTGCAGCAGGCCTTTATGAGATTCGCATGGCTAAGAAAGACCGGCTGGAAAATGCCTTTCACGGACGTTTTGAACTGCTCGAGCACGATACAAACCCATTTCATGGTCGCACTGCTGCTGGCTTGGCTCTCGAACAAAATTGTATGCCCTGAGCTACATACCTGCAAGGTATGCATAACCAGGGGACGGATGGGTTATCCATCTGCATGTAGTGACCTTTCGGGAGCTGCAGTCACTCCGCAGAGTTTTTCTGACGCTAGCGAGTGAATACCGAAAGCCGGCTTACAGGAATCGGTGAAACTGAGGGGATTACATATAAATCGCAGGCATCTCTTCGGGTGCTTTGTGTGCGCCGATAGCCCGTTAGTATGCAACAACCTCCTGATACTCCAAAGCACAAGGCCCCATAGGCCAGCACCTCCTGAATCACGCCTGTTCCGCACAGGCCGTCGCCCAGGAGGAAGTTGACTACGTTTTGGATTAGACAAATAAGGGAGACAAAATTCTCTACCTAGTGAAGTGGCGGGGCATCCCTGACGACGAGGCTGCATGGGAGCCTGACCAACATCTCACTAATTGCCTTACAGAATTGCGAGTATGGCGCCGCCACTTGCGTCGGCGCATGCGGCCAGCTGAGAAAGCCCAATCCCTGTCTTCTCACAATGGCTCGGGTGTATCCCTCTATAGCTAGCTTACTAACATTCATTGCTTCCATTTTCTCTTCATGTTCTACAGTACCTCCGTAGCATTCTTTCAAGCATTAGTATGGCTCAGCTCCACAGCCTATTCTGTTGCCGCAGGAGAGTAGGTGCCTGCAGAAAGAAGGGAGGGGAAGTGTGGTCTCATAAAACTGCATGCTCAGACGTTCATCCTTCGAGTGCATATGGTGTAATAAGCTTGCTCCAGCAGGGTTCCTACGTGTCTCTAATCCTCTGCATGCAGAGGTTCACGTAGGAGCCAAACTAGGCCCAGCTCACTACATGCATTTTTCTGGCAAAGCTCCTAGCGAGCCCAAAATGGTAGCGGCGAGTCCCATATAGACTGAATGAAGCATTAGATTAGCATGGTCTACACTTGAATGCACAGTACGTCCCGCGAACACACGATGAATCCAAAGTTGTCAGTTTCCCGTTGAAAAACTACTGGCTTAGCCTACTACAATAGTAGCAATGCCACAAAAAAGCTAGAGAAATTGCGGGTCCTGTAATCTTGGAAGGCACCTCAAGCGATGACACAAGCATTTTCATACATACTCGCCGATTTCCATTTCGAATATGTATCTAGCCGGCCCACAAGGGTTTCGTTTAGCACTGTTGGTCTTCCAGATAACCACGGCGTACATGTCCATTTGCGCAGCTCTTCTAATGTGGTTGCAGCAAAACACTTGCGCGAGGTACACTCGGATATCACTTGCCAAGGCATAACGGATACAGAAAAGAAGTGCTCAGCGCGCCAGGCCTCCACTAACTGGAAGTAAGGCAGCGCGTAGTGTAGGTCGGCTGCTACACCAATAGTAGGCCGTAGCGATTGCATCCTGGACTCTTCATCGGCCTTCCCAACCAGGGCAGCCGAAGGTACCCACTTATCTGCTCTGTAGGCAACTTTTAAAGGGTGCACGCGCAAAGTGAGAATACAGTCTACTGCTTCCCAAATGGCTAGGCTCGATTCCTTAGCGTGCAATTTAGTAGCTATTGCTGAAACCTCTGAAGCAGCTTCTATCGCAGCCCTCTCACCTGAGCAGGTGGACGTGGATCAATATACACGAGTTAATTTGTAAGTACCAGTGCAAAATTGGACTGAGGCTCAGTTTCTATCGTGGTGTACGCGACCAGTTGGCCGTTAGCGGATCTGCTTAGAGTCCGAGCACGGCACCGCATTATACGTACGTGATTGTATCAAATGTAACGTGCATTCACTTGCGTCTTGCAAACTTGCAGGCGTGGGTTTTGGAGGGCGGCTGTATTCAGCGACCACAGCGAGTGTGAACAAACGGCGTGTTCGGTCTTGCACGTTTCGACACGCTTATATGGGATTTGGGAACCACGTACTGCACAACTGCATTTTTAGGTGGACTCATAAGGGTGAGGAAAGAAAGCAACAAGCCTGCAGCCGCTTCGTCACCAGTGTTCTGGCGGCTGCCCAATGGCCCGGCTAGCAGTGTCATCGGGCATAGACTCAGCTTTGGTGGAATACCTCCTAAAATTGCGCCCAAAGTTTGGGACAAGAGAAGACGCTGACTTCCGTTGTGGACCCAGCATTCAGCAGTTGCTCCTCTGGAAACGCGCAGAGATGGGTAAGATTCTTCGGTTTGAGGGAACCTTCAAACACGCAGTTCGGTAGGGCTCCCCAGTTGAGTTGTTCAACTCAGTGGCAACCTTGTATAACGGCTTATTAGCTATAAACACCCACACATTTTAAAAACATGCAAAACAGGATCACTTTCCGAAGCGTCGCCTTAAAGCATAAATTAGTTTACAGCTAAAACTGAGAGAACTCCGTTCCCTACTGCGAGTAGGCACTGCATAACAGAAGAAACCTTTGAAGTACTCACGGTCGATCATACAAATCAAAACTAAGCGTATTTCTGGCTTGAATACTGGCTTGACCGAAACAATCAATACGACCGTCGCCAAGCCGCTGCATCCCAAATACTCGAGAATGGAGGGCAACAGCCACAACGGATAGAGCCAGCAGCTACAAAAGCTGAAGTATCTGTGAAAGACTGTTGGACTAACCGCTTTGAAGCAGGATATTCCTGTGTATGTTGCAGCATCCACAAAAAATCACAAACAAAAAATGGCAAATCGCAGGCTCCACACAGGTGGAGAGCAGTAGTGCGAGCGATCTTTTGTGGATGCTACGCAAGTGGATGAACAAAATCAGTCCACTCAAGCAGACCCGAATATCTGAGGAAAATATAAGACTCGTTTTTTTCTTTATCATTAATTGCAATTGCTCGTGTTGAGCGTCACATGGCCATTTCATGATACATCCGGGCTAGCGCTAGCCAACGAGCTCTCGGAAGGCCACATCTGCTAACCTGCTTTTCATTGCTTCCACAGGAACTTTACCTTCCATTTTGCAAGAAGCTTCAAACTCTTCATTTATGTTTCAATTTTTCCTTGATTAATTAGGCTTCTATCTTTGGGAAGTGTGGAATGACGCGAACTGTATGATCGCCTTGGTGGAGGTTCCGGCAACCCTTGCAGTGTTTTTTCCTTCCATCAACTCATTTCAGTCGCAGACTAGCGCAGCATTTCACTATTTCGTTGATAGAAAACGTTTCCCGTGAAACCAGAGTTTCTGGTTCCACAACGGTAACCTTTGCTGACGCTTCTCTTCCACCGTGTGCACAGCTTACAGTCGAGCCTTCACAATGAAGAGCATCGGGGCATTTTCTGCAATTTTGGCTGTGCTTTTTTCGACAGCAGAGGCTTCTACAAGCAAAGATGTCAAGTCTGTTCCATGGCCTGAAAATGGGTCAGTGAAGTTTTCCACCCCGATGTCCCCGATGCACATTGCCGTGGACCTGAAGGAGTGTGCAAAGGTTTACGTGAACTTCCGTGGTAACAAGGTCCAGGTGAATATTCCAGGAGACTCGTCGAACCAGTTTATACTAGAGGGTCAAGAAAAACTCCGCGCAGACGGTGGCCAGCTTGTTGTGGCTTTTTCTTACTTTGGGGGCCAAGGTCACATCATCGTTAACGCGGAAGACGTTAGCGGCAATTACGAAACACGCATGCACAGCTTCACTTTGCCAGAATGTAAAATCTCCAGAGTGCGTGTCACAGGTCTCGAAGGCCACGAACTGCAGGACATCCACGTTGGAATTTCCGAGGAAATTGTGGAAGCATTCAAAGCAGCATATGGCCAGGCCGCTACGCAGTAAACGGTTCTTTTGAAGGCTCAGTGACTTTGTGTCCTCGCCGAGGCATGCATGTCAATTTTCCACGCATAACAGTGGCAGAGGCCTGACCTGCCGTTGCCTGAGTTTGGGGTACTTCGTCCGGTTGCATGAAGCGTGACACCGCGATGTCAAGTTGAGCGGCGGATGGCTTCGAGGCCATTGACAGTGACAACTCACCTGAGGCGCAGCGCGATGACTTGCTGTCCTCTTCCTCCAGAGGGTGGACACAGCAAAGGTTTGGATAGTCCAAACCTTGCACTTTCACGCAGGGTTCTGGGGTCTTGTGGATGGGGAGGGACGCCATCAAAGTTTTATCAGGATTAAGACTCTGTCGCCACAAAACTGCTCAATGTTTTATTGGTCGGGCGAGCTGCATGGCTACACAGCCGGCCTCCATTCGGAACGCCAGCCGAGTGCCAGTCGTCAGGCCTTTAAAAGCAACTGCTTGGCCATTTATACGGGACAGTTGTCTGAAGTATGTTTGGGTTGCACGCATTCTCCCCACATTCTCGTATGCACATGCATACGGAAGGCATAACCATGTAGTTCTATCTACGGCTTTAGTAATAGTAGAGCCCATTATTACTAGTCATCAGTTCAGCGCCACTTGCGACTTCCCGTGTCAAGGGGACATGGCCTGTACGGTGAGAACCACGGTGGCACGTGGCAACAGTCTCAGGAGAGGCCCTGCACCTTAATTCACTCCATCTACAGAGGCAGCAGCTAAATTTGCCACCTGCTGTGCTTCTTTCGTGGCCTGCCGGCGGATTCGAACGTTTGACCTTTACTTCTGATCCTTGCTGCTGACTAAGTTAACAGCAGAGTTTCTCTTGAGCTCCTTAGTGCGTCTCATGTTTGCTTTCTCCATTTTGCGCCTGAGCACAGAGCAACTCAGACAAGCAGGCCAGAGACAGAAGGTCGGGTCGCTTCATTTGTGACAATAGGGAAGAGCTAGCATCATGTTGTTGTGTAATAGGGGCTGTGTAGTATGGGCAGGCAAAGCAGCTCTACAAACAATGAGCTGAAGCAAGCTGCACCACTGAGGGCGAATTATATCTGTATGTATGAGCCAGTGATTAAGTTGCATCGACAATGGGGCCCACCGAAACGCTTCGAACAGCTGAGCTTTGGACGGTCGCGGCGCTTCCCTACTCACAGAATATTGGCGAAACGCATGTCAACATAGCCTTTCTTTGAGGGCCACATGCCCGCCTCCACTGTTACAACAAGCAGCCGCGCTTCAATCAGATACGCCGTACCCGTGACGGCGGGATTCGCAGTAGCGCCATAGGGAAGGGGATGATGAATTTCGCTACATGTATTATGCCTGCACCTCTTCACCAAACAATTATTTTTACCTGGCGAGGCCTGGATTAGCTCTTGCCCAACGGGTCCACTTCTTGTAGGCGGCATCCCACGACATTTCTTTAGAACGGCCTTTCCTCCTCCTGATGGCATCTGATGCAAGCTCCTTCAACCGACCTTCCTGACGCCGTTGAGCCGCAGACAAGACCGAAGCAGCAGCGCTTCGATTCCCTTCCTCGTGCGGTTTGAGAGTATCCGACGACCTGTGGGATTCAGCTCTCTGTAAGCGGATTTCAAGGGCCAGCCTGCTTGTAACTGCCTTGCACCTGTCCTCGCGAGTAGTTATGTAGTCATCTGGGATGCGGAAAACTTTCTTACGCCCTATGGAACGCCACAGCAGACCATTTATATAAACTTGACGCCAGCTTCAAGCCTGTTCTCTCTACAGAGCCAACGTGAATGAAGCAACTAGGCGTTGCGATTGAGACAGGATAAAGGGTAATCGGGATAAAGACGCATCATCATTTCCTTAAGGGCGGCGTACCTGTGGTGTTTGTATGACCATCTCCTTTATTTTGTTGCCGTTGTCTTTGGTCGGCATTCAGTTTTTCATATTGAGGAGCGTCTCCTGTGAAACTTGCAAACACCAACAAACCCGCGAGCAGTCGGCCACCACCGAGAGTCTGCTGCAGTATCCTCTGGCAGTCACAACTGCCCGTAGAAAAAGGCCGAAGGCACCTCAGACAGAATAAGTAGAAGAAACGCACCTATTGGAACAAGTTCGCAACGCCATTTCTTGTTATAGCAGCGGTTCATGTCAAGTTCGTAGATTCCCTTATAGTTTGATGGGTCCGGAGGGCACTCAGTGCGACCTTTTAACTGCGCTGTGCTTTGTCCAAGTGCCTCTGCTGCAAGAGACTCTGAATCTAGCACAGCTGCGGCTCCTAACCGGCCCCTGGATTGCCACTGCCTTGACCAAATACGTTCGTTCATGCTAGCATTGTGCTGCTTTCGACATCCCTGTTGCTGTTCTTGGGCGCTTACAACAGCCCCTAAATCTGGGAAGGCGCGTGGTCTTTCTTCGGTTGCTGTTGCTTTTGTTGGGTTGCCTTGTGGCGGGCAAAGATGTGCTGGTGTATGTCTCCTGTTACCACTGTCAATTGGAGCGAAATGAGGACTAGAAACGCTGATTTCCGCTTCCTGATCTCTGCAGAGCCCCATATCGATTTCCGCAGCAATGCGACTGAGGCGACGCGTGCGCCAATCACTGTCGTGCAGCAGGTCCAGCAACCGCTTGCCCGCTGGTTTCAAATGATGACTATCGTGATGCTCTACTGTCGTGGTGATGCTATTTTCCTTGGACTCCTGAAGATTCTCTTGTGCATGGTTTGGACCAAGAGGAGGGACTGCAGATGACAAAACCGACCGAGGAGGCCTTAGGGAAGGATCGCAGTCGTCGCAGCCCTTTAGGGTAAATGTTCGAGACTTCTTACTCTCCATGCTAGCATGAGAATCAGCGGCAACGTCCTGTGACCTTCCAAAGCGGACCTCATGATAAACCGAGCTAGTCCAGGTCGAAATATTCGGCTCCACGGTGATGCAGACGCTCTGAGGAGGTAAAGGCAAGCCCCCTCGAGTCGCCAGAACTTGCCCATCGCCTTCGGTCGTCTTTCCATTGGAAAACACACCGGACACTGACTCTTTGCCACTCACTGCATGCCGTTTCAAACGTCCTTCTACACGCGAAAATATGAGCGAAGGATCCGGCAGTAAATCGCTTATAAGCGCTTCTGCGCATGCCAAACCAGACAGCGGTAGCGCCCCTGCTGCCCTGTCTACTGCGGCGGCGAGCGAAGGGCTCAGCGATTCGTTGTCCGTAGCTCTTCGAATCTCCCTCGTATGATGTTCGATTCCAGGCGCTTGATCTGCCGCAGTTTCGGCGTACAGAGGGTCGGATACAGGTGTGGGTGGCTCGCTCACTGCATCCCCATCAGCCGTATCTTCCGTGACATCACCATTTGCACTTCCCATGAGGGACGCATCACCAAAGGCGCTGATAATACTCGTAACATTCCTCCCTTTCATGACATCTTCACTCAGAAGCGAGCCCCATCGTTCCACAGCTCTCGCCACGGGGCTCTCCGTAGTCTGTGCGCCTTCCAGCTGTTCCTGCTGCGTGTGAGGAACCTGTGCTGCTGTGGACTTCACCGGCCTTGACGCTGCCTTCTGTGTATCTTCAGCAATGAAGGGCTTGCTCAGGTCATTTCTCCTTTTGCGCGCTTCCTTCTTCAGACGACGCGCCTCTACCAAATTTGCTGCCTGGCACACGCAAACACAAGACTGCTATCGCTTTTCATTCCCGGAGACCTAGCGACAACACAAAGCCTTCAACAAACTGAGCCACACAGCCCAGTATTTACATGGCCGGCATCTCCCAGGGCACGCTGCATATATCAAAAAAAGTCTAAGAATGGTAATCTCTTCCCTGTGGCCTAGGCACAGGTCGCCACATAGCTTTACTTCGCAAGATAGGAAGAAAGCTAGGCTTGTAAGGAAATGGTTGTGCGCACTGCTCTGTTCTCTGCTTGCCTGAAGTCGAAGCCGGCCAATGACGAATTCCTTAGAAAGCTGTAACTTCTCAACTTCTGCACGAAGAGGGTTGAGGCCCCTGTGGCGAAGAGCACTAACTGCCAAGGGGGGGCCCACGCATCCTTTAAATTTCTTGACTTCTTCTGTCACCTGAGACAAGACCCACCACCGAATGCAACTCTCATATTTCCCATAGCCAGCTTACCTCCAGGAATTGTTGAGCCCAAAAATATGACAGCAGGACTTCTATACCCGAAGAAAGCTTCCACAAGCGCAACGTGCACGGGCCCAGGGATGAGAAAAAAGACAATAAAAGCCCAAGTTATCTTTTGAAGGGCACCTTAGACCCACAAGCTGAAGGACTTTTATGAGAGACTTTTGCTCAGGCAGGTCAGCCTTTGTCAGTACGATCTGATAGGGGACGCGGTGGCGCTCGAAGAAAGACAGTAGACAAAGATCGCTCGACTTCAACCCCCAACGGGAGTCAACGAGCAGGAAGACTCGTCTGAGATTTCTGAGCACGATTTCCGGCAGAAGCAACATGAGAAGCAAAAGGAACACTCTACTTAGTGCTCAGAATGGCTTCCTCACTACCAGCCAGTTGCCAAATCACGCCTGACGCCTCCGTCCCTTTTAGTGTGGAAGTCTGGAACGCCCAACTAGCGTCGCCGCAGCGAAAATTACAATCTATCCAGCGCCTCTCGGTGGAGCGGGACAGAACAACCCATGCCCTAACGAGAGCCGCTACGCTGTCGGTGCAAATGCTTCTGATTACTCAGCTTGAGCTCCGGGAAAAACCGAGACCCCGTCGCTCGCGTCCGTACTCGTAGTGCAAGCGTTGCAGGATACTCACGGGCGGGTTTTTAGGTAAAATAAACACATTTCTGTCCACTGTAATCGCTTCGACGGTTGTGCCTCGGCGTAGCCGTATCCAGGAAGGTCCACTAGGCACAAAGAGCATGGAGATCCTGCCTACAATTCAGCGCAAATACAAACGAAGCATTTTCGAGAATACACCTTCCTGGCCGGCACGTCCTCTTTCCGCCGTCTGCCTATTCCAATCAATTCGCTATCCATCAGTATCTCTGGCTCTGTATTTCTCATCCCACTTCTGTCAGTTTCGTTTCAATTAGGTTTGCTTCGCCCTTGTTTGGCTTTGCCGGTGTTGCTTGAAGCTAGATGTGTCTGCTACGCTGTAGCCATGTGCACTCTACGAGATCCAAAAAGCGCTGCGTCCCCAAGGCAGCCGGCAGCATCGTCAACAGCCCAATGATCCTTATCTTCCCAGCAAAATTGAGTGCACACCTTGAAGAAAAACAGCTCTTGGGTACTCCCAGGTCTCCTCGAGACGGCGGCGGTGCCGCTGCGTCCACAAAGCTCATTAACTAGGGTGCTTTTCCCTGCATTAGACCTCCCCGCAAACGCCACCTGTGGCACTCGTAAACAATATCACAATCAAGGCGCACAGGACCTTTCCTGAACTGCTTAGAGCCAACAAACAACATATGGCCCCGAATGGACCACGGCACTTGTAACCAACGAGTCAATATGCAAACCGACGTCTCGCTTTGCGTCGCATCATCATTTACTCGGCACCACAAAAGCCGCCCGTAAGCATACTACAAAGCCTTCACAGTATTGCAGTCGATTCATTCTCTCATTCACTGTGATCCCCCTCCCCACATTTTCCTACTTAACCTGGGCAGGAGCACGACGGAGGATACTGACTGATTGACTGAAGGAACGGTACCTCGGGATACAAAGAGGGCGGGAGCTCGTCCGCAGTCAGTGCTTTCTTCCACAATTGTAGGCGAGGCTTTAATTGATTGAGGAAGAGAGGGCAGCGCGCTGATACTGAATGGGGATCACCTTAAACACCGAAATACATGTCACACAGCGATGCACTTGATTCAGGAACCATGAACAGCGGCCTTCTTTAGGGGCTACCGACAAGAAAGGCAGTGGCCCAAGTGGGAAGAGAACGGAGGGCCTGAGGAAGCTTAATTCACCTCTCTTCAATAAACGCTGCGCCCGCTGGCAACGGGGCCTGCCGAGATTCTCCTTAAGCACTTGTCTCTGTACTATTGGATCGAGATGTCTAATAGAACGCAATCTGCGGCGTAGAGGTACGGGCCGCGAGGGGCAAGCTACTTCACGACTCTCTCCCTTGGGCTTCGTAAGGGGCGAAGGAATAGTCCCCTCGTGAGCTAGCGTGCCCATCTCCCTTCGCGCTGCCCACCGCCACTGGGTGTCTAGTAAACTATTTTGTATGCGGCCAGCGTGATTAGAAGGAGCGGCTTGATGATTCGATGAATCTCCTGTCCATCTTGCGACGCGTGTAAGACGCAACCTCAAAACAGGTGAAGGCGAGCAGACAGCCTCTTTACGTGAAACTGATAAGGCATTAGAAAGCTGCAGCAGGGGTAGAGACACATGCGAAGGTAGTTCGCAGGGGGACGGTGAAACAAGGCCCCAGGTTGTGCGCGGCGGGGTCGTACAAAAACACTTAGGGAGGGAGGAAAACCGAAGAGCCATCTCTATATAACATGCAGCATGATCCGGGAGTCGAAGATAGACAACGAGTAGAGGGCCCGCGAGGAGCAAACAGACAGCTTTCAGAGCCTACAAAACGTTGAGAAACGTCAATGAAACGTGGGAAGCGGCCACTCCAGCCTCAGAGTCCATGCGGCACGGAGTGGCCATATCAGAGCCTCGCTCCCTGACAGAAATGGTGTACATAGTCTTTGCTATAACCTAACAAGCTTTTCAATGCCAATGGTGTAGAATTCCTGGAAGCCGGGGCTTATTAGAGCTCATCTGTGTGCTGAACCGGCACAAAACAACACAAACCTACAATCTAGGGAGAAAACAGAACTACAGTGTTACTAAAAAATATTTTCAAGCGGGGTTTATTATTGTGCAAGGACGTCACGATAGTAGGAGCAGCAGTTGGGGCTGTGGTGTCGGGATCCACAGTGGATCGGGTGGAATGCGTTACTGTAGAAGCTTACTACCTTGGCTGACCCCATCAGTGAACTTTATGGAAATTTTGTGACTCACACACATTTTTTGTCAAGCAGCTTCTTCACTTGAGTAACGGCTTCCTCTGAAATTTGAGTTGCCAGTGACTTAACACGAGGCTGCCCCTGCAATGCATATTCGTCGTTCCTCTTCGGTCGCCTCTACTGCTTTTTGCCTTGCATCCGCACAATTTTTCTTTGCTACTTCAAGGGCACCAACATAGCTAGGCCACACTTGTCAATGCTTCAAGAGTGCAATCTGCAAGGAAGACAACCAGCGGCAAGCTTCGAGCAACACGGTGCTCGGTATGGCGGAAATTGTAGGGATGGCTCGACGCGTGTTCTAAAGTGTTGCGGGCGTGTTCTTAGGTGTAGCGCTTTAAAGCGCTAATATATATTTACAGACGTTTTACAGCCAAGCCAGAGCGGGTCTGCAAAGGAACGGCGAAGTGGGATCTTCAGGCAAAGCGGCCTTCGATGGACGGCTAGCTACTACAGGCTGTCGCATTGTTGGTCAAGCAGAGAAGCGCCTATTGTCTCCATTTAAAATTTAGCAAATTAACTGATCAGATCAACGCACTACTAGATAATGGTGCCCCAAAAAATGAAAATGTTTCGTGGTGGCTTTTATTTTACGTTAGGTATGAGACAATAAAGCATCTCATGCAAAGAGCCTTGCGGTTGTAGTGATGGTTATCACAAATACATATAGTTTCAGAAGGCCCCACAGGCAGCTACTACGGACGGCCGGAAAGTTGGAAGATCTGTTTTTTTATCGGCTCCAGGAGCACCAAAACATAGAGACCCAACGCTCCTCGGACCATTGGTTCCAGGGCTTCTGCAAACGGGAAACAGTCTCTACTTTATAACCCTAGCGTGCTACACATGAAACTCTCTGTAAATACGAAGGGCAAAGATAACTACTGAACCCTTCTAGAGTGGCCCCCTGCATGGCGGTTTAGAGGCTCACTGTCAGAGTAATGAGTTCGCAGTACAAGGCCTGCTGAGCAGCGGCAAGTGATGCAGACCGAGAGCCAGTTACTAACTCCACCACCAGCAATATATATGGCAAACGATTGATGGCGAACTCGCTCCTCTACGGGCTTATTTTCGATAGCCGTGCTCGCCCCCAGGTACCTCTCATTTTCAACCTCTTTCTTTTACGAGTTGGACATGTGGTGCCCGTTCATACTCCCGCTATTGTCGGTTCAGCGTTAGTAGGATACACCCAGGCAAAGTGTTTTACTTTCGGTAGCAAGTGCATGCGCTAGGCTTTCCTTCGAGAGAGCAACGGAGACCCCAGTCTCCTCCTCAACTCCCTGGGAGCCTCCGGAACTCTGTGTTAGTCATATTCACAGGAATGATGTGGAATCACTACTCATAATCAATGTCATCAGTGCTCTTGTGCCGCACTGCGACGCTTCAAAGGCTTGCATAAATACGATTGGCTCCTCGTCCCCTGTCGAGCAGGGTCTTCTCTCGGCATGCATTTCTGCGTGTTCCTACTTCACAGGCAAAGCTACACCGCCTAGTACAAATGTACCTTCGGCAGTAGATACTTTTCATACATTTGGCCCAGCTGCATACTTCAAGTACAAGTAACTCGTTTGAAAGACGTACAGAAAAAGGAGCAAGCCAAAAATCATCATCAGTGGACTCGTCAGCGCTCTATTAAGCCGCCCTAGGACAAATGGTACCCCAACACAACTCTGGCTGCATCTGTTTCCCAAAGCTGTTTGCTTTACGCGGTACCCAGTAATGTGAGCATATAGCAGCTGTCGAGTTCCCTTTTCTCTTCTGTCAAAGCAACTTACAGAATGCACTATTTCACTTGAAAAAAAAACAACACGAATCTTACTCCCGCCAAGGAACGCGACAAGAAGGAATATCTACGGCACCTGCTGTCCCTGCACATCCTCCGCGGTTGCTGAGTATCAGCAGCATAGCGCTCTCAATAGCAATCCCAAATCGTTATTATTCTAGCTGTTGGCCTGATGCATGCTGATGCATGCTTTATTCTGATAACTGGGTAACAATAGAACGCCAGATGTTACGTGAGAGTCAGGCAGACGTGGGGCCACAAAGAGTTCCCCAGCAGTGCCACTTTGAAGCCGAAGTTATCCGCACAAGGCAGACGCGCCCCAAAAGCGCCTCGTCCCTGAAAACAAAGAAGGATACTGGTGTTCAAAAAGCATGCTGATGCTGACAGCACAAAGCACAAAGGTTTATACACTGCAAGATGCCGCGGAGACCACAACCGGCAACTACAAAAAGACAAAGACACGGAGAAGCTCACAACTCAAGCTATGTACTGTGCAGAAAATAGGAAGGACTATAGGGTGCAAAAAACGTGCCTGTCCACAAGGACTTTGACGTATTGTTTCGTGTGGCCAACTGTGTGGTCGCTGCGATCCGAATGGAAAGAGAACCATACCTGAGCAACCTCGGAAAACAGACAATGTGGACGGCACAGCATTTCGAGATGCACCACAACATCCTGGGAACGGCCATAAGCTGGAAAAA